ACATCAGCTTCTGTGGGTCAGTACACTGCATGACCCGAAATATCTTGTCTAGCGACTCCAGCCATCTCGCCGCAGCAATAGGATCCAAAGACCCTTCAAACACAGGTGGATTATGCTTCCTGAAAGCATTCAGCCGGCGATCTATCACATCACGATCCTCAGCAGGCTCTACAAGAGTCTCCCTCGTCTCAGCGACATGAGCAGCACTGCCAATGTGACTCAGGCTCTCATCCTAAACACTGGGTGGAGGCGGCGGCGGTGGAAACTGGCCTACAGCAGGACCAACCCTCATCTCCTCCAACATGACTCTCATCATCGTCATGTTCGCCATCCTGTTCGCCTCGAAGACATCCTCAGTGGTCCTCCGGTTCGCTTCACGAACCTTCTCTGCGGCTATCCGGTTCGCCTCGCGAACAGCATCCATCATTGTCGCGTTGGCCAATCTAGTGGCCTCCTGATCGGCTATCCTAGCCGCCTGCATCTCAGCCAATGCAGTCAGGATAGGATCGGGTTGATCCTCACAAGTCTCTCGTGTTCTCCCGGATCTTACCATGACTCTGCACAAGTTACACAATTTATGAGTTGATCAGGCCCACACAATGTGATTACATATGCATTATCATAATAAAATTCGACGGAGTAAACACACAAGACAGACACAACCAAAAATCCTAGCTATTGCAATACATACAGGCTTTTCCCTCGAACCATTGCTCTGATACCATAAATGTAACACCCCGTATATATCCGGTAATGTTATCATACTATCGTATTAAGCAGCGCTTAATTAAAAATGCGGAATATCTTTTTCTTTTCAATTATGAAGTCATTAACATTACCAACTTGCTTATTAATCAATTAATAAAACATCGCCTGTATGCAATTGCAATAAAACAGCTAACTGAAATACCTCATTAATTAAAATAACGTAATGTATGGCTCTAGTCACGGAACTACAACACGTAGACCGGACCAACTAACAGTTTATACAGCTCAACTCAAAAGTACTAACAGCATAGTGGCATGGACAACCCCATGCTCACCTAAATAAGGCAACAAAGTCCAACATCAGTCTCAACTCAAAACATAAAAAGCAGAAAACATAAACAGCATCCAGTCCAGTCATGCTAGCAAATAAGCAGTAAGATCATAATCAGCTAAGCTCTGGCCTCCTGCCGCCAGAGGCATCAGTCACCATACTACCTGAACCTGAAATAAGCATTCCCCAAACGTGGGGTGAGATCTCTAAACAAGAAATCTCAGTAAGACAAGGGGTCCTCAATGATCTTCCACCCCAAGCTCACTTACATGTGCAATATAAGTTTAAAAGCAGTTCATCAATATCATTTCTAAAACAGTGCAATCCAGCAGATAATCATGTCATGTGTGTCAATTCTATTCTACTGGCCAGAGAAATGCAGGAATAAGTATACGTCTATTACCCACAATTAGTGCAAGACGCCACTTGCATTCACTCCGGATCACCATATCGTATGACGACACATACTCAGGCTTACCGTCAAGATGAAACAACACATGCATATTAAAAGCCATTACACATAAAGCTCAACAACATTTCAAATATTCAAAGCATGTAACACAGCATGCATATAACCACACCCCCAAGGGACATGGTGAAACCACAACATGGCTAAACCGAGGACACGAAAGCTTACCTTGCAAGCTAACACCTAAAGCCAAGAGTCCACAGCTCAAAGTCCAAACACAGTAGATTCACAATCTGTTATGGACCAATAATATATCAATAACATGCACCGCAAGCATACAAAGACAACGCCTTTCCATTACATTTTACGTCTTAAGGCTTCTCACCAAGCCATAAGCCCTTAATCACATGATTCTGACTTACATTAATTAATTACAGAAGTTCAACTTCCTCAAACTAGGGTCCACAAACCCATAGATCAGTTCTGGATGAACAGTACGCTACTGTTCCTCGCAAACCCAGAATATCCGGATATTCCTCGGGGGCATATCCGGATATGCAATATCCGGATATCTCACAGGCAATATCCGGATATCCAATATCCGGATATCACTCTGGCAATATTCGGATATCCAATATCCGGATATCCAGATCCCCATATCCGGATACCAATATCCGGATATCAATATGCGGATATTCCACGGCAAATATCCGGATATTTCGTGACAGAATGCAGTTTCTGCATTTCGCGAAGATATCCAACAAAGGTTCCATTTTCAACACTTCCAGAAGCTTAAACATGCATCTTAAGGTTCATTAAGGTTCATATGACAGTTGGTTACTTGTTTAATCCATTAAACACACCAAGACATCAACTTTAACCCATTAAACTCATGAACAAGGTTGGTACAACTTACCACAGCTTAAACTCAGCAAGATGGGTGCTCTTGGAGCTCACACAACAGCTCCAAGGTATTGACTTCAAGGGTGCACGAAAATACCACCCAAGCAAAGGTCTTTCTTCACAAAGAAGGCTCCTTGAAGCCTCACAAACCAAGAACAACACTCCACCACAACCAATCCAGCAAGTCATCCCTCAAACCCTTACCAAACTGAACCTTACAACTCAGAAAAGGCACCGTAAACACTCTCCAATGCTCACACTCAAGTGTTTACTTGATCAAGAAGTGAAATAATGATCAAAGGTGGTGACTTTGGTGAGAAAAGGGAGGAGAAATGAAGAAACAAGGTGGCTGGTCCAAGGCTTCAGCAAAGTTCACGTAGGAGGCACAATTTCTGACCTGGAAATGTGTGTCATGGCCTTATATAGGCCCACTTAACTAATTAACACAGTATTAACTTTAATTGCTATGCTTATCATTTTAATCCCAAACTTTGAATTCTTAACCTACTCAATTTTACAAGAATTATCATATTTTTCTTATAATTTTTGGAGCACCTTTTCGGTACGTGCTTTTCATAGCCAGTACCAGTTTTCGGCACCAGTTCTCATTATTTGGACTTGAAACTCGTTTTACAAGTCCTACATATTATTCTAGTAATTATCATGCACTTATTATAATTTTCCGGGATACTTTTTCGGTACGTATTTATACTGACTAGCAGAACCGGTATCTGCATTTTTCTTCCGAAAAACGACTTTCAGCATTCTTAATCACTTACTATAATTATTAGAGTCTCATAATAATTATTAGGGTCAATTATAGAATTATTTCCTAATTTCGCATAATTTATTAATTAAATTCCTTAATTAACGATGTGGGTTCTTACACTAATTCAGTGCACATTAAACACAGAATATGATAGGCGCTGATCCTATCCATTTCTTTTACTATCCTTATCCAACTCTCTTATTCTATCCGTCCTTATCCTATCTTATCCACCAAACGGGCTCTATATATTTTTATATGTGTAGAAGATAAATTATCTCCAACATGACAAATATTAATCCCAACATGAGAAATATTAATCCCGTGTGTGTATATGTGTGGAAGTGTCGGATATTTAATTATAATGAAGTCTCACATTAGTTGATAATAAAATAAATGAGTTGAAGGGCCCATAAAGTTATGGATTGAGACGTGGTTTTAAACTCATTTGCTAATGTGAGATTTCACAATTGAATTAAGTGAAAAGACCGATAAATCTAAGACAAATTCGATTATATATGCATATAATCAATCAATTCTATCAAATCTTATATTCACGACATATAAAGTTATGGATTGAAATGTAGTATTGGACTCATTTGTTAATGTGAGATTTCACATTTAAGGTAAGTGATATGACTTATGAATCCAATATCTTGAGATTTTAAAATGTGTATAATTTAATAAATTATAATTATCATTAATGGAGAATTTCTTATTCTAATATAGTGTCAAAAGATCCCACTGATATGATTATATATGTGTATAACCAATTCCATCAAATCTAATGTTCAGGACACAAATTTATATCCATGGAATTGTCATATTCTCTCAAAAAATAGACTTATTATTCATAAATATATAAAGTATATTTTTCAATAATTCATCTATTTATTATTAATACTTAATTTTGAAGAGAGTTATTCTCTCAAGGTTCTTTATATGGTATTAGAATCTCGCCGTCTCTCACTTTGCATTGTTCCTCTTATGGAGTTTCTTAGCACAGGTAGGCTGGGCTTGTTGCATTGTCCACTCTTCAAGCCCAACAGGCTCTTGTGTGAAGAGGCGTGTTGTGAGCAACTAATGTAGAGTTTATAATGTCTTGGACACTCCCACCCTTTGAGCTAGTTTTTTTGGAATGACGTATATCAAGGTTGTTTACGGTTATAATAAATTTGCCTCCGCTGAAGACCCCATTTTAGGGGACAGAAACTGAAGCCGCTGTACCTATGGGACAGGTAGCTGGTGTTTTTAGGACTGCTGCGCTACACCCTGCTTGTTTCAGAGGCTTGCAAGCTGTTGCCAAGGTCCCTCAAAAGCAAAACAGATATAAGTACAATTTTTATTGCCGTTATTAATATGCGTTAATGTTTAATCAGGTGACAGGTACCGTTTCCCAAAAAATAAAATTTATGTTTCTTACTGCAGTTCCTTATAACTTCATCAGTTTGGCAGTTTTCAATTAATAAACACTCAAGCATTTGTTAAATAACACTGTTTGGTGCTCTCTCTTGATTCTGGATTCCAAACCAAAAGCTCGTTTCTGTTACTTGTGCTGTTGGGCGCTAGGAATGACTTCTAAACCTGACAATAGAGATGGCTCCAATGGTGACACTGCATCAAAGACAACCCACTTTTTCAGGATCATACACCCTAAAACCCTTTTGGAGGGAAAACTAGTAAGCATATATATTTCCCTTTTCAAGATCATGTCTCTATCCACTTTTTTTGCTACTCACCGAAATAATGCTACATTCTTAACATTTATGCACGTTAGTAACTAAATCTTCAAAAGGGTATTGTGAAGTTTATTAATGAATTACATTAATTGATGTCTGTTAATACATACATTATATTTATCTATCTCTGGATCTACATGACAGATGCTTCCAATAAAGTTTGTGAGGAAATATGGAGAAAGCTTACCAAACTCCATACTTCTCAAGCTTTCAAGCAGTGCAGAATGGACAGTAAACTTGGAGAAACATGATGGTAGAGTTTGGCTTCAAAATGGTTGGAAAGAATTTGTGGAGTATCACAATCTAGCTTATGGGCACTTATTGGTTTTCAGATATGAAGGAACATCTCATTTTCATGTATTCATCTTTGACCCGAGTACCATGGAAATTGACTACCCCCTCTTAGATCCTAAAAGGGCCTGCAATGGTGAACATAAACCAAGTAAGAAACGGAGAACGAATGAAAATAGTAACAAATATGACAGTTATTCCAATTTGCAAGACATTTCTTTTCATTCAACAAGTCAAAGACGAGAAAGACATGGTTCTAGATTCCAAGTGTATTTATTTGGTGTTTTAAGTTATGAAAGCTGATAAAGAATTTATCTTTTCTTTTGTTTAATTAGTTTTCCTGATTTTTTAGGTTTGTTGAAGAATCTAAGTGAAATGTCATCCAATACTTCCTTCGCGGTGGAAATAAAACCAAGGCACTTAAGGAAATACATTGTATGTTTTCAAACAAAGGTATCATAAAATTTATCTAGGTATCCAATTTCATGAATTAAAACACTGATTCAGGTTAAAAATGCATTTCATGCAGGCCTTGCCAAAAGGCTCTCTGAAGGGCTACGTCAAACCTGGTGGACAAAATGTTACGCTGCTGGTTGGTAACAGATCATGGAAGGTTAATTTGATCTATTACCCAAAGAAACCAATGACTTGCTTCTCTGCACGTTGGTTAATTTTCTCAAGGGAAAATGATTTAAAAGTAGGAGATGTTTGCTTGTTCGAGCTGTTAGAGTGTAGTGATGATGACTTGGTAATCAAGGTTTCCATTTCTAAACACTCTTCTGTTAAGCCATAAGCGGGCATTAACCTAATGTAGTTCAGTTCTTTTTCTATTTTATTTTATTTTATTTTGCTTTGTAAGCTTAAGGTAATTGGAAATGAAAATTATTCTAAACACTCTCGTGTGTCAGGGAACCTAGAAGAGGATCAAATTCATTTATAGATAGACAATCCTTTCTCTGTATCTCTCCCCTCCTTCAATGTCCCTCAACTTTTTTTTACTGAATCACTTTCTTTAATGGCAGAGTAAGATATAGTAGTTGTCTTTTAAACGTTACCCGATTGAAAACTTGATGAAACTTTTATAGCAAGGTATTTTTTTAAGTCCTGCACGAAAACAATACAGGAGTAGTTTTGTATGTTTTTAATGTGGGACATAATACGCTGACACGTAAATTCTGTATTGTTGATGTGCGAGACTTGTCTTATAGGATCAATATGCAGAATTGACTGCATTAGTATGAGAAAATTTTCAGAAAATGTATTAATATGGCGTATTTTTTAATCAATGGCTATACAATGGTAAAAAAGCCCATTTTACATCCCCCTTCCTATCTTTTTTCCTAATACTGAAGGAAATTACCAGACTGCCACGGCCCACGCCAACAGTAAATTTTACCAAAATACTACGCAACATAATTCGCTACACTTTGTAGCGAATTATGCATGCAAGTAATTCGCTACACAGTGTAGCAAAATATGTCACGTCAGAACCAAAAATGTTACATGTCAAATTTTGAGAAATTCGCTACCCTATCTAGCGAATTTCTCAAAATTTGACATGTGGCATTTTTGGTTCTGTGCATTCTGACGTGGCATATTTCGCTACACTGTATACCGAATTATGCCGCGTGGCATTTTGACAAAATTTACTGTTGGCGTAGCAGTCTGGTAATTTTTTTGTCCAAACGTGACACTTTGGTCACTGTCCCTAATACTGAATGGGTCAAAGTAGTACAAGCCAATGATGACGAAGTTTCACATTACTCCCTCTCTGTTTCCCTTTTTACTTATATCATATACTGAAATATGGACTTTGATTTAATTATAAATTGATAACAGCCAAACATGAAGCAATATATGAAGAATAGATGATAAAAAGGTTCACTTTGACCAAAATACTTGAAGCATGAAGCATTGAAACGTAATGCATTTGAGGCCAAATCTGTTATCAATGGTACTTGGGCCTTGGGTCCATTCTTCTTTATGCCTGAAACCTCTGATCTTGCGTTGACCTTGAATATTGGGTTTTAAATATTCCTGAAATAGAACAAGCAGCTCACTAACAGGTTTGCTTGAAGTGTGTTTTGGATAGGTGAAATTGGGCCTTAAATAATTTTAATTATATAAAAAGCTGGCCCAATTTACCCTTAAGGGGCATTTGGTTGAGGAGAAATTTTATGAATAATAAGAAAATATTATACATTGGGAAATGATTGAAAAGTGAGATAGATAGGAAAATGTAAAAAAAAGTTGTTTGGTTAGAAAAAAATTTACCGGAAAAATTAGGTAACTTTTATGAAATCTATATTTGGTTGTAGGTAAGATATAGATGGGAAAACAAGTTGATTTTACGAAAATAACCTGTATTTAAATTTTTTTTACGGTGGCAAACAGGGTTGGCAAACCAAGAAAACTTTTTATTTTTTTTGGTTCTTTGCTTTATCCTGGCACTCAAGAATACAGTGTCATTTTAGTTTTGTTTTGTGTTTTCAATATCTTTCCTGGTCACTGTACAATTGTTCATATAGCATATTGTTCCCCCGTCATCAGCTTATATTACAGAACAATCAAAACACATCATGCTCTATTACATCCTGAGTCATTGATCTTTTCACTTCACACAAAGCATCTGGAATAAATACCAGCTTCACACCCTCCTTCCATGCTCAATTATCATTGTTTTTGGATCCAACAGTACGAATTGGAGGGTATGCTCGTCATTAGCGCTCTTGCCCAAGGTCACCATTTAGCTAGCTAACATGCAATACCATATATCAAGAGGGATTATTTGGCTTGCTTGCTTTCTCATTCAGATAGACATCCAAATTGTTTCGGTGGCAATCTGATTTAGGTAGCAATATATTCAGAATGTTTAAACCAAACAAAGGCACCCAATTATCCCACTTCTCACTTACCCATCTATCTCAACATTTCCCCCCAACCAAACACACCCTAAGAGTCTTTTGTTAAAGACTCAATACACCCCCAAACTCAAGTCCTTTCTTGTCCTCAAGCAAGCAGCCTTCATAAGGGTTCCATTTTCTTTTTCTCAAAATAACTTCCATTTAACAGAAAGAAAAACAGAATTCATGAGCATTAAAATTTTCACCATTTCTTCTTTAATCACCGTTGCTCTTTCAAGACAACCTTTTCAACTTAACCAACATCAATCAAAGACCAGTGTTAGTGTTTCATCACATTCAAAACTTCAAACTGTCAACTATGTACTTTCAAAATTTGAAAGTTTCACATGTTTCCAAAATTCCCAAATTCAGCAGCAGCAGTCAACACATCATATAATCAGGAAACTTTAAAATCAGACTCTTCACAAGGAGAGAATTGATCTTTGCTTAACACTTCAACAGAATACAAAATTCTTACAACAGGCAGAGGAGATATATAAAGAACCAATTCATTCAAAAGCTTAAGTTGTTAAGTGAAGCTCATTGATGATTTATATACTTCTCTAACACGCCCTCTCACACAAGAGCTCATTGGGCATGAACGGTTGATAATACACAACTCCACCTATCTATGCTAAGAAATTCCACAAGAGAAAGTGAGGGGACGGTGAGGATCGAACTCGTGACACCATGTAAAGAACCAATTCACTCAAAAGCTTCAGCTGTTAAGTGAAGGGGCTCATCGATGGTTTATATACTTCTCTAACAAGATATGTAACCATTCACTCTCTTTCAAACTTTCCACTCAATGTCTCACAGGATCTGTTTTCTCTCCAAACCTCACTGCAGGTAACATCAGCATAGGCTTGATGGGGTGCTAGGACTTCATAGGTAGAACAATGAGCTTCAGCTAAATCAAAGGATCTTGCATTGGTTGATATGTGGACTGAAAGAGGTAGGAAATTTATAAGGGAATTGGTTTGTTTGATTATGATGGAAGACTTTTTCCTTGAGGCTTTCATTATATGATGCTCTTGACCTAAATGCAGGGAAATGATGAAAAGTTTGATGATACCTTTGCAAAGGGTATCGTCAGCTTTTTGAAATGTTATTTGAGCATAGGAGGGTGTCTTAGTACATGGCTGAAAGAGATAGAACTTTAAATGAAATTTTCGAAAAAACTTTTGTGAATTTTCTGGAATTCCCCCCATTCCCTATTGATACATTTAAGCCTCACACTAATGCTTTTGCAGAGAGAACTCCCTCAGCAACCAAGACTCAATCCCCTCCCACTCCATCTACAAGACATGTTGAGGAAAAACAGTAAGCATCTTCCTCATTGAAGAAAAGAGGAAGACCAAGGAAAATTCAACAAATGCCACTGGTTGAGGAGGAAGAAGAAGAGCTGGAGGAGGAGGAATTTGAAGAAGAAGAACAAGAGAAGAAGTATGAAAAATTGACATTGATTCACCCTTAAAATCGGATGAAGAGTCAACATACTTGTAATTTTTCCTTGACATAGGCCACACAGCAGTGTCTTGCACTTTCCTTTTCTGCCTTCCCAAGTGACAATAATAACCAATTGCCACATAACTACAATGCGAACCAATTAAATCAACCCATAAAAGCTTTAGCACAAAACATAGATAAGCAAAAAAAAAAAGAGGTACTTACTACAAATTAAAAAAAGAAAAAGGTAATAATGAAATATTTTACATTAAATATCCAACTATGACAATTATGAATTATATTTCCAAAAACCCTATCCCAAAAGTTGTCAGCACAATAAGATATAAAATAATTGGTCTAAATAAAATATTGAGGCTTTTCTAAACATAGTATAAGACAGAACATGTTGCTATATTCCAGAGTACTAAAACATTTTTTTTGGTACATAAAAGTTTATATGGGGTTAGATGCCAGTATCCCACTAGGATCAGGGCAAACTTCCCCACTTTTTTGAGGATTATGGGAGTGATCACAGATTGCACCACCAACAAGGTCTTCATATCAGCCAGCACGATTCGAACATATACCTTTGTGGGGTACAAGCCTAATCCTTGACCAACTATGGCCACCCTCATTGGCGACTACTCAATCATTCAATAAACTAAATTTTGAAAGAATTGACAAAAGCACAAAAAAGAAGAAGCTAATGACTTAAAAATAAATCCATAGAAAAGCTAAGGAAATTGGAATACGGAACAATAACAAACCATCTGCAGAACACTCATTTACCAAAATTATAGTGGTTGTCGTACACCAAAAATGGACTTTAAGATAATTCAGTTACTCAAGGGTCCATATTTGAGGTAAATTCCCCAGGCGTGTGATAACTGAAAAAGACATCGAAGAAATAGAATTAACATTAACATGACTGGGAAAGTTGGCAGTTAGACTCCGAGACATAGCCTGGATTTGTGCTTTTCCCACCATGAACAGGAAGAGATGTGAGATGCTGTTTTACGCCAATATTTTTCTTCAACTTTCAATTCCATTTTGTCAGGGTAAAGAAATTATATGACTTCTGAGAAGGGAGAGTCCTTTACAATAAGCTCGTGTTGCTTCCACTTCCTAAGAAGGATCCTGATACTGCAAAATAGAAGTAAATTATCAATTTCACATCATAGTGTACAATTAAAAAGTAAGGAAGTTGCTGGAGAAATATAATATAAAAATTATTAATGTAGCCTTTTATCTAACAGTTTAATCATAAGAGTTTGGATTGAATTGGCTCTTTACTTAATGCCTAAAACTATAACAACTTTTTATTCACCCAAAAACGAAGTTATATTAAAAACAAAACTGCTAGAAACCCAAATCGCATGACAATATAGAGGAATACATTAATACATTAACGCTAAGCACAAATCTAGCGAATGAACAATAAATCATGTAATGTAATGTGTTATTAAAAAATTCAAAGTAAGGACATACTAGATCAGTCATGTTTTCAAGGAAGTAGCTCGAGACCAGCTATGTTAAAAGCAAACAGTAGGCTCTACTGCAAGAGCAGCCGGTTAGCATGCCCATTCAAAAGTGCCAACCATTAGCACGCCAATAATTTCTTGCATTTTCAAGGGAACGGGCATGTTTAATCTTCAAAAACAGCTTGTAAGCCCTATCTGTTTCATTTGAAGCAAGCAGCCTGTTACTTAGTTTACTATATACAAGCCTGCTTGGGCAGAAACCTTTGTGCAAAGACTCCTCCATAACAAGAACAGCATTTTCAAGTTGTCCTATGTTAGAAAGACCACAGATGATGTACTCATAAACTTCAACATCAGAACTATACCCACATTCTTGCATGTCCTGCCAGACTCTTAACAATGTTCCACATTTTCCAAACTTAGAAAGACGCATAATCAGTATCTTATAAGCATCCATTGATATCGAACACCCTAGTTTTCTTGTCTTCTTGTAAATCATCAAAGCAGCATATGGTGGACCATAGCTACATAAATGCTTGATGAAGGAGGTTATAGTCCCAGTAGAAGGCACAACTCCTTGCCTTAACATCTCATCAAACATAAGAAGCGCATCTGCCACTTTGCGGACTCTGAGAAATGCAGTAATTATTCTAGTATATGTATCAAGATTAGGTTCACAATTATCACTCAACATCCCATTATAACACTTCATACACTCATCAAAATCTCCAACCGATACGAAATTGAAAATCATTGCATTATAGGCAGCAGTATCTGGCTGGCAATTTTTCTCCTTCATATTACAGAAAACCTCAACAGCCTCTTCCAATCTACCTGCTCTGCCCAAACCCTCAAGAAGGAAACTAAACGTCCTGCAATCAGGACGAAAGCCATCAGCTTCCATTTCCTCCATAATCCTCTCAATCTCATTCACTCTTCCAAATTTAGACCAACCACCAGTAACAACATTGTATGTAGTAACATTAAAAGGTATCTTGCCTTTCATTGAATTAAAAACAGAACTTGCAGCACCTACATGAGACCGTTGACAAAGGCATGACAAAAGCACATTCAAAGCCTCTGTATCGCGATTCAACCCGAGATCAACCAAGTTCCCAAACACCTGAATTGCTTTAGACACATGACCAGCCCTAACAAAACTATCAATAACAATAGATAACATAAACAAATCAGCTTCTATGCCATCCATCCTCATGTCATTCAACACTTCCATCATAAACATAAAAAACTTCCTTCTACCTAGTGCCTTAACAATCACATGGTAGCTACCAATATCATTAGGCACCATTGGCTGTTTAATTGCCCACTTAAAAAATGTAACCATGGCTTCACCACCAAGATTCCCTGAGTTCAGTACCTTACCAAGAACATCAACATTCACATCAACACCAACATTAGATAGAGCTTGTTCAATTGCAGCCTTGCCCTTTAGCTTCTGAAGAAAAACTCCACGCAGTTTCTCTTCAGGAGACAAAAAACCATCAGCGGATTTCGCTTCTGCTACTGATTCTGATTTTGATTCGCAGTTTTTCGACATGGGTTTCTCCAATTTGCACCTGGCTATCGGTAAAAGCTCCGAGATTTGCTCGAGAACGAGGCGTTCGTTGAGATTGGAACGGGTGATTGGTTGATTAGGGAAAAGTTCTTCGTGGTCCAAAGAATTTTGAGGAGCGTGGAGAGATGAGAACGGAGATGAGGGGATGAAACCGAGAATGGAAGCAACACAGTGCTTCGCTTTGGCGAAGCGAATGAGAAATTGCAGAGATCGAAACGCCATGAAATATGAATGATGAACTCCACCAGAGTTCAAGACCAGTAGCAGTATGAGCGAATTATTTCAACTACTGCAATATTATTTTCCAATAATCTCCTAAATTCATTCAAGAATAATTTAACTACTAAAGTACTAATGTATTCGTATTTGGAAATACAAAAAAAAAAAAAAGAAAAAGAAAAAAAGTTCTCTCTTTTTTCAAATTATTCCTTCAAATGTTAATAAAGAACAAGAAATTTTTTGTATATTTCGAAGAGTTTATCATTTTTCTGTAGTTATTTCTGCAACTCTGTAACTATTATTTTTAGAGTCAGAAAAATTAATGAATTTTTGTAAAATTAATAGGAACTAAAAGAAGAATATGGAGATAATAGAGATAGGGGAATGAATTCTTATTGTATTGTAGTACATCCATGATGTTTTATACATGTCTTATTTATAGGCTCAGAAAACATGAAAGACATAATAACTACAATTATTTCTCTAACGGTCATAACGTCTCCAACGGTCATAACGTCTCCAACGGTCATAACGGTTATATAACGGATTGGACAGCCAATAAATTGTTTATAACACTCCCCATTGGATATCTAATAATCATATTGAGAAGAAATATGTATAAGAAGCTCCCTCGTTAAAAACCTTATCAGGAAAATCCAATGGGACAAAATCATAGTGAAGGAAAAAAGAGTGCAACACTTATTTCACTCCTCTTGATGATAACATTATTTAATATCTCTGAGTTTATGCATCCCGATCTTGTATTCTCAAAACTTGAAGTGGGTAATGCCTTGGTAAAAGAATCTGTCAAATTGAACGAATTTGATGAACATCAATTTCACCATTTTGTTGAAGATCATGAGTGAAGAAGAATTTTGGTGACATATGCTTCGTTCTGTCTCCTTTGATGTATCCTCCATTTAATTGAACTACGCAAGCAGCATTATCTTCATGCAATATTGTTGGAACCTCTTTTTCTAACTAAAAACCGCATGCTTTTCGGATGTGTTGCGTCATTGACCTTGATCAAACACATTCTTGACTTTCTTCATGAATTGCTATTATCCCGTAGTCGTGCTTCCACTGAATAAATATTCTGTTTAGAATCCAGCTTTGTGTGGATCCTGCATTATTCTAGTATCTTCATATCGAAAAGAATTAATTCCTGCTAACAAATTTATAAATAAAGATAAAATGTAAGAATAATAGGGAAGATATGAGGTTCAAAAGCCAAACATCCACTTTAATAATTTTATAATTTTCCCTTGAATGTTCACCTTTTATTATACAATAATATGATTGTCTCGATTGAACTAAGATATGGCACACAAAAAATTTCATGATTTTTTTCATGGGTTTAAATGAATATTTTATTTATGTCAATCGAGCTCATATAACCATTGGGGTACTCAATGGATTTGTTTTAACCATGTAAAATATCTTTAAATTACAAGTCAACAGGTAGATAAATATTTTATTAAGGTGATTATACCACACAAGCCTTTATTGCTTTAATCCATTAATGATATTTGAAGCTTTACTCAATGAATTTCCCGGGAATTTTTATATGCTTCAAGCATTTTAGATCCTTCTAGGATTTTCATACATATTTCACTATCGATTGAATAAGCCACATAAATAAGCTATAATAACATCTATTAGACGCATGTCAACCTTTTCATGTATTTCCAGATTATTAAAATATCTGAAGGTGATCTCATCCACCACAAGAGAATATATTTTCATATAATAAATGCCAGGTTTTTGCAAAATTCTTATGCTACAATAACTTCATTATAATTTGTGCACATTTGTACCCCACTGGCATTACACCTTCGTGTTTGGACTACAGGTCCAAAAAAAACTTTAAATTTGAATTGCATCTTTATATTTTGGCCAATCATCATCAACAAATTTAGCTTCAAAAATCCTCGTCTTGTTTCATCATTTCATTTTATGCAAAATGTTGTCGACATGTTATCAAAAAAAAAAAAAATGTTGTCGACAACTATATCTTTTCGGTTCCAACTTTTTCCTATAATGACATAATCAATAGAGATCTCTTCATTTTCATTATTTTTAGGTACCTAAACCCCCTTGAGGTTTGATCAATGTTATGTCTTTATGTCTCCATATTATGACCATATTAATCATTTGCTCCTTTCCTCCATTTTTGAGGTTTTTTATCCTTGAAACCGATCATTTGTTTTCATGTACAATATAAATTGGTGCATGTACAGTTGGAATATTAGACTTATTGGTCAGTTAAATCATCTGGCAGTCGATGTATAATATCCTTTTGCTCATATTTGCTGAGATAATGATAATGCATTATATATTTTTCAATTGTTTATTCTCCCCCCTCATGTTGGAAAGACTGATAACAATAATCCACTAAATCTTCAGTCATTATTTCAAAATATTATATAACAAAATTCATATCCAACATATATTCCCAACTATATTTGGGATTCATCTTTGTGCGTTATGGTCGAGTAATTAGAATATAAATCACACATCAAAAATATTATTTGGCTCCTGACCATAAGCCAATGTAATGGGGAGATGATAACTTATTGGCATGATGCGTACAAGTACTGCAACATAAAATATAGCATATTCCCATGCAAACATTGGAAGCTTTGTTCTCATAGGCAATGTTCTAGTAATCAATTGGAGACATTTAATAAATAATTTCGCTAATATATAAATTCACCAGCATTATGAAGACGAATTATCTTTATTGTACTCTTAATATTATCATTTGAACAAACAATCTCACAAATGTCAAGATAGACAAACTTGTGGCCATTTTGTAGATGCATCTATTAAATTCACATTATTTGAAAGGTCCACATGATGGGTGAATGAGTCCATATATTTCACCCTATATGCATTTTAAAAATGCAAGAGATTGGATCTCAACTTTAGCTGGTGATAATTTCTTTTGAGAACTAGCATTATATGAAAATTCAATAAATTGAAGAATCTTCTGGTCCTTCAATACATGATCATATGAATTTTCAATAATATTTCGCATCATAATTGATCCGGGATGGTCCATCCGATTATGCCAAATAATATAGTTATTATAATCAATATCCTTTTGATTTACCAAGGCGTGTTTTTCAATTATGCTAATATTACTGTAATATATATCGGAAGCAAAACAGGTAATTTTTCCTTTTTATACTCATTTCTTACGTGCAATATTTATAAAAATAGTCAATTTTACCATCATTTGTGGTCTCAATGTGATATCATTTATAGCCAATTTAGTCCCCTTGATAATCACAAATTAGCTCTTCTAAAGCTTTATATTGTCAATTATTGTATTAAAATTTGCTTCCTCCATATCAATATTACATGCATCACATATTGAGGCATTAAAGTCATAGGCAATTGATAAAATAATTCGGATTTTGCTACTTCAAGAGCAATAACCAACAAAGATATTTAGCCTCATCAGTGGGATTAATTTCAATGGCATGAGATTCATAACACCTGCCCTTATTTTAATTTGTCATATTTATTTCATTAGCCACTTTCGTTTGGCTTCTTTCCTTTTCATGATTTGACCATGATTTTGGACTTTATATAATCCTTTAGGGGTTATATCATTACTTGTGCTCATAGCCCTTAATAGCTAGAGTCTTTCACAGATTTGGCATTTGCTTCAGACAATGCTTTTGAACAATGGATCTAAATTATAATTATTCTCACTCATTCGGATATGAAAAGAAACACTATAATAACTACATATTAAATGAATATTCATAATTATTCAAATCAGAGATAATTTAATAAATTACATAATTAAATTGCATTCAATCACAAATACCACAACAGTAATTCATATATGCATAATCATATCAACTCACAAATTCATGCATTAATTTATTAAATAACATTTAACCATACATGAGACAACTGTAACTGTTATGGGATTTAATCATATATAAAATAATTGTAACGGTTATTTAATTAACAATTAATTTCAAATAAAAGACAAACTAATAGTCATTAAGAATCAAAACATAATAAAATTAATAATTATGACATTAATTTTGATTCACGAAATTGAGAGAAATGCATTTAATTACATATCATCGTTACTCTTTATTTGCATTCAATTAAAAGAATATTATTGAATAGATGGAAATGAAATATATTATACACAAAATAAAACGGTTAAACTCATAATATTTCATTCAATAGCAAGCATAAATAATTACAATATGTGATAATTCTCTTCATGAATGCATTTAAAAAAATATATAAATTGCTCCAATGATTTCTCGTTCATTTCAAATATTAAATTTGATTTATATCGAATGATTTGTAATTGCTTTTTTTTAACACATAATTAATAGTAATATAAAAGACAAAATTAATTACACATATTCTAATAAAATTATCATCTTTAAAACAATTATTATTATTATTATTATTTGTTATGTCACACTCATTACACAAATAAAATTAATAATATAGATTCTAATACATGGTTACATGAAGATAGCAAAAAGGACGACAAAATAAATAAATATAATAATATAGAAATAATTCCAGCATAATAGCCTTCACGTAGCTGTCTATGTACATAACCTCATAATATATATGAAATTTTCATAAAACAGCACACCAATTAGCCATAAGTTGGCATAATCCACTAAAACAACCACATCAATACATAAATTCAATCTTAGACTCATGGACAACCATTCATTGTACTTTTGTGATTCACATCATGCTTCAAAAATACATAATACATCTTCCATGCTATCCACCACTAATTCACAGCATTTTTTTATTTATATAAATACATAAAGACAAAATGCATTCGCTCATGCACATAGTACACGGCTACATACTTCCATCATTAAGCACAATTAGGATACATAACACCATGTGACTCATTAACTTTCTCATAGTATGTTTCCATATCATAGTTTATCACACGGGAAGCCCTGGGGCATGCATATTTACATATTCATATATATAATTACACTCAACAACTTAGATAGTCCATTCAACTTAGAAGATGTCATGAACAAGTAATTCAAGAGTGATATTACA